CTTTCGACGATGCGCGCCGTGATCCAGCGCGCACCCTGAGCGCGGTAAGCAATCCGCCTGTCAGGTGAGAGACCTTTATCTCTAGTGACAACGCAACCGGAGTCGATCGGAGTATCCGCATCACATGTAACGTCCGTAATGCCCGAGTCGATTGACTCACCGTCGCCAAGGGCAGCTTCCGCAGGATCAACTTCTTCAGCCATTTCAGCATCTTCATCTTCATCAGCTTCTTGTTGGCTTTCTTCTTCTGGTTTATGATCGGCAGGTTTCCCCGCATGCCACTCGCGATTGTACTGCGCCAGATAGTGAGTAGGCGTCAAGTTCTGCCAAACAGACTCTGTCTGAGCTATCTCTGCACGAGTGGCGGGATCGTAATCCCTTTCCGTCAGCCGCTCCTGATATGGCGTTTTGTTGGGGTCAGTGCAGCGACCCCGATCATCTCCATGAGACCAAACCCACGGTGTTCTGTTGAAATTAGGGCTCCGTGATGGGCGCCTCATGGGGCAGCCCAGCCTGTGATCAGCATGGCTGGGGCACGTGCAACAAACGCCTCTGTAGAGCTTTCGATCCTCGGTGATGGCCCTTTCGAGATCACGCACGACCGCATTTTTCCTGCGATTTGGTCTGTCCCTTCGCGGAGCGAATGATATTGCCATCATCAAGTTTAGCCTGACGAAGAGGATACCAGTGTCGGAGTTGATGTTCGTTCCAATCGCTGTTCAACCAATATTCCATCTGATCTGCAGGCATGTACTGACGGGCCAATCCGGCCATTTAAACGCTGGACTTCACCTTCTGGATATCCATCTCCACGACGTTGATCATCTTGAGGCGGGTTTCCCCGCAGACGTTCCTTCCTTGGGGGTGCATTCGCTCTTGTCGCCTGCCTGGCGGGCTACTTGGGGCCACCGTCCCAGGAGGATGAGGACACTGAACGCCGCTCGAACGAGCACTGCTGGAGCGGGCTCGCGCCCGATCTGGTGGAGGACTGGGAGCTCGACCGCGACGTACCATGCGGTCATTATCTGCCTGTTCGTCCTCGTCACCCATTGGTGAAAGACTTGGATCGTCATGATATGTCTTCTTCCTTTCTCAAGGGTAGGCGGCTTGGCGTTCGCCTCGGACTGCTAGCGGACCGATCTGACGCAACACAAGTATATTGAAACTCTTCATTATGCCCAAGCTCATATTGAATGCGCTCAGATAGATCACCAGCGTCTCGCGGGTTTCCCCGCAGTGGATCATCATCGATCGATTCCGCGGTTGTCGAATTTCCAATCACCCGAGGATGAAGCATTGCATGTACTTCTTCATCTGTTGCAGGAGCGGTAGAATCTGAGTTCGCGGGTGTCCCGGCCAGACCACAATCACCTTCGACGGGCGCATGGAAGTTCGCGACAAACTCAATATCTGCAGGTTGCCCCGCGATGGGTAGGTACACCCAGCCACTCTACCAAATCGATGTCGTTGTGGCCATTGAACACCTCCTCGAACAGCTCGTCGGCGTAATTCTCGAGGGTCATGCTGGCATTTAGATACCTGGCAACCATGAAATGAATAACTGTGGCTGAGCCGTCGGCAGGGTCGGCCAGAAGTGACTCCCAATCAACATACTTTATGTCGGAGTCCGTTTGAGCCAAATGTATTGACAGACCCCTGCCTCTTCCATCACCTTGGGAGCACTCGCGTCGGAAATATTTTGTACTGCGACATGTGTCGCACTCCATGGTTTTACCGTTGGCATCCTTTGCGTGTCCTCGTCGTCCTTTACCTTTACCTGATGCATGCCTACGGTTTCTGCCAGCACCTAAAAACATGTTTTCATACTGGGGCCCAGTGAGAGACGCTAGGGGTGCCAGTATGCCTCTACCATGGAATCGCTGACGCTTACCTTTGCCTGTACTTCGACCTTTGCCTTCCTTTAAGTGTCCGCCGTGCCGTGCGTCTTGCCCTTCTGACTGGTTTCTTCAAACTCCGCCAACGACGCTTCTGCATTTGATAGCCCAAAAATAACCATTGAGCTTGTTGCTCTTCAGTGAGATATGTAGGCATACCAGAGAAATCCAAAGCGGTAGCTTCATCATCGGAAGGCGCATCAGTATCGGCGCCGGAGTCGAAGTCGGACTCGGCGGGTTGCCCCGCAGAGCCCATTAGGGTCATAGCCTGCATAGGGGAGACCACGTCGGGCAGTACCCTAAGTCTGGCCCAAGAGTCTTGCGACCCCGAGGCCGTTCCGCCATTCTGAGCCAACGCTGTAGTGGTCTCAGTTGGCAGAATGTCGTCGTTCCAGACGTTGCTAGTAGGTTGCCCTGCATCGGCCTCTGTGTGGGAAGTCTCGGTTCGGTGACCACGACTAAAGATACCACCAAGATTGCCAGAGGTCCTCTCAGCTATTTGAGCATATGACCTCAAACGTGCGGGTAGATTGTGCTTGGTCCTTCGGCATGTGGTGGTTCAGAGGCTGTAGGAGTTGCCGTGTCCGCGATTTCCCCACTCCCAGAGCTCTGAATAGTATTACTGTTAATATCTGGAAGTTGGGGATGCTGAAACCGGCGGTTTCGGCGTCGTAGCGGGCTATCTCGAACCGCGCTAACGTCTGGTCGATTCGTTCTCCCGCGTGGGCCCGAAAGTCAAAGAGAGCCGCGCCAGAGTTGAGTTGGCGTTCCTCTTCTAAGTTCTCGAACTTCGTATTTGGAAGAACATAATGTTCGAAGCGCCGTCGGTGTGGCGACCGCCTATGTTGACGCCAAAATTGATGGCTGCTGGGGGGGCTCTCATGGCTATGGTCCGTGCGAGCCCCCCCAGACCGCGCTGCAGTGCGGCGGCCTGCTGGGAGGGCGTCATGTTGCCTGAGGTCACATTGATCCAGGCGTGTACCTCGCGGACGAACTCGCGAAATGGTATTTGACCGGCAGGGTCCCAGTGGGGGCCAGTCGTTCTAGCGTCGCCTCCGCCCCGCATATGTCCCACCGCACATCCAAGAGCGAACCATATGTGCCCAAATGTAGAAATCCCAATACAATGGCCTCGTAGGTCGTAGTCGGATGTAGTCGGTGAAGACTGATGTTTTGTCGTCGTAAGTCTGCGCGGGGTCGGAGGCGGCAGCATATCGCATCGCATGTTTCCATGCATTATGTATTCGAGAAAATTTCCAATTGGAGTAGGTGGGTGGACTTCAGGAGTGGAATAGCGCAGGGATGCAGGATATGAGTAAGAGACCTCCGCTGGAGCAGAGGTGTCACTGCAAGTTCCCTTGCGGCACTGCGTAGCTAGGTACACTCCTCCGCGCAATGCCACTGCACCCTGATGTTCCACCGTATCTGTAGCCCACCAGATAGCGCCGTGGATGATGAGGAGCAGAGCAAGAGCGGACCACCATAGGCCAGCTCCGCTACCAAGTTTGAAGGGGGCTGGGAGGCCCAGCCAAAATCTTCGCCTCAGGCGAAGCCATGCTCCCGCTCTGTTGCATCGCAGCGACGATTGCCCCAATGTGAGAGGAGAAGCCATTTCAAGCAATAGGAAGATCCTTTTGGTCTCGATAGCGATTGCGCGCCTCGCTGTGAGGCACAATCAAATCTGGGCGGCCGGCCGCTTGAGCCAACGCGGCCGCGGGCGCGCGCTCGTTTCCACCCCTGGCGTCCCCCAGCTCGCTTTAGAGCGCTGCTGCTAAGATTGCAGTTTCTTGAAAGCCCCGGAGTCCGGAATGCCCGGCAATCCCGGGGTCCTCTGGGGTCTTCCGCGGTTCCCCCCGTGAGTTACGGGGCGTCTCCTGCCGCCTCTCTGGGCGCTCTGCCCGCCCAAGACGACCTCCCTAACCCTCCGATGTGTCCAGTAAGGCTCCGATTTGCCGAAAGATCGCCCCACGCCGTGCAGGGTGGCCCCCAGACGGCCCGCAGCGCCCATGACGCCACAAGAGCCTTTCAAAAGCACTCCCAAGAATGCCCCCAGAGTCAAGAATCATTGACTTCTTCACTCTTTGAAAGATTTGGGCGTTTCCGCCTTTTCTGTTCCCCGACGCTCCAAGACGGCCGAGCGACCCCCAAGATCGCCCCAAGACAGCCCGAAAGGGTGCCCAGACTGCTCGGTAGGCCCCCAAGACGGCCCAAGAAGCCTCCGAGACGGCCCAGGAGGGCCCAAAAAACGCCCCGAGAGACCCGAGAGGGGGAACACGAACCACTTTTTCGAGCTCCCCGCCCGAGAGGACCTAAGGAGGCCCAAGGGGCCCCAAAGAGGCACCCAACAGATCCCAGAAGGCCCCCAAGGGACCCCCAAGAGAGGAGGCCCCCACCAGGCCCCAAGAAGCCCCCAAGAGGCGTCAAAACTGCCCACCGAAGGCCACCGATAGCTCTCCGAAGAGACCCAAGAAACATTCATGAGGACTTTGGCCCCTGACCCAGGCACGGTGGCGGGGTGGACCGAAGGCCACAACATCCGCCATCCCCTGCTAATTTTATCACAGGGCGCCTGCGCAGGGGGTCTCCAAGATGCCCCAGGGCGGCCCGGGAGGCTCCCAGGGCGACCCCCCAAAGGGCTCAAAGAAAGCAAAAGAAGCCTCCAAGACGCAACTGATGACCTTCAAGACGACCCTGAAACGCCCCAAGAGGGCCCCAAGACGGCCCCCCAAGACGGCTTCCGACGGTGCCAGACGGGCCAGAGACGCCATAAAACTGTCAATGCCCCCTCCCCCCACCCATATGCGTTCCACGAAGGGCTTCCAACGCGGCCGGAAAAACGCATGGTCCAATAGCGTGGCCAAACTTTACCCAAACGATTGGCCACATAGGCGTATCCTGAAAGACAAGGGGCGGCGGTGATTCGCCGCAGAGAGGCATCCCAAGAGACACTCATACGCACCCAAGAGGCATCTAAACCATTGCCCAGACACAGTGGCGGGATGGGCCGAAGGCCATTAGCCATTAGATAGCGCACCGCGTAGCATGCGACAACGCTCGAGGAGGCCACCAAGAACAACAACGAAGTCTTGGCCTCGGAGGTCACGCGTCAGGTTGAAGCGCAGCTGGCAGCCGCTCCACATGCAAATGGCGAGGTGCCCTACGAGCAGCGCGTCGTGGCCTACGTCGCCAACCTTGGGGTCGATGCGCCAGCAGTGGAGCTTGAGACTCGCTGCGCGCAGCTGCAACGAGAAAGTGGCTTCGCGGCGGAAGCGGATTTCTCGGGCGTCGCCCCCGCGCGCAAGGAATCGGTATCCGCTTGTGAGATAGTCTTCAAATCGCCGCCCCATCGCCCGGGCCCGCGTGCTCATCAAGTCCAAGCGCAAGCAATTCCTACAGGGCCGCACCGCGTGGCTCGACGCGCGCAAAACCAGAAACGAGCTCAACACAAATCATGATACTCATCGCGTGCACGAGATGGCTGAGCAGTTCGAGGCCGAGCGCGGCGACAAGCAGGACGGCTTTGAGAACGCCCCCGCCAAGATCGCGAAGGCAGGGGGCAACGGGATGCTTTCGCAAAGGGGCGGCACGAGCCCGAGCAGCCTGACCTTGCCAAGGACTTCGCCGAACCATCGTGATTGTCATGAACACTCACCACGATCAGCTTCAATATCGGCAAGAAGCTGGTCGATCAGGCTGCTTGTGACGCAATTCTGTGCACTCTTGAACAGTTGGAACCCATGTGTCGGTCGCTTCCCTCGCCGAGTGCGATGACCACCTGCGCGCCGACCACATTTGTGAAGTTTCGGAGATCACCATCGATAGCGATTTTTGGGCTGAGCCAGGCTCGGTCCCATCCTGCGTTCTTGTGCGTAAGACCCGGCTCCACGCTCTGCGCTCTGTCGATGACAACGGCAAGGCTTGCCGCGCGCACCTCTCCGACGGCGCGGCCATGAATCCGAGTTCCGTTTTCTCCCATGGAGCTCATAGTGACGACTTGCCTGACAGCTAGTCTGATGCGACGCTCCTGCGTCCAACTCGTGCCCCTGGTCCCCACCTCGTCGTCGTCGACCTCGTCGAACGTCGAATTCATCCCCACATTCTCCGGCGGGGGCCCTTTCGGTGAGAGGCCTGGTCGTCTTGCCCGGCATACTGGTGAACGAGCTGTTCTCGACCAATGCTTAGACTCTCGTTCTCTCGCCTTGCACGCTCCCAATCTTACCTCGGGCGACCCTCCCAGCACGTGCGCTGCCGAAGGAATGCCTTATCCCTATCCCATCACCCGGCTCCCAATTTGTGAACAGTCTGGACTGCCGTCGCGGATCGATCGCTGCGTCTGGCGGCAGCGCGCGCGAACTGATTGCGCGCTGGCCTGAAGATGTTCCGCTCGATCACCTTGCCCTCATCGCCAGATGCCCTTGCGCGGGCCGGCGATTCACGCGACGACCGCGCGCCGCGTGGACTTGCAACGACTTTCTGGCTGCCCTCTCCGTAGCCCGCAACATAATCATGGGCGACGTGCAGATCGAGACTGTCGCTGACTTCAATGTCATCGCCACGAAAATGCAGGAGGCCACCTGCGACCAGCGCACCTGCTCCGAGAATCGGCGTCTCCGGGAGCCCCCTGCCATCAAGGAGCTCCGCCGCCAGCAGGCGCTCGCCCCCTCGGAGATAGAGCGGAACGGACTGCAGCAACTCACCCGGACAGGCCGCAAACATTGGATCCGCGACTGACAGTCCTCCAACCGAGGGGGGCCGATGTCGAAGGCCCACGCGCTGCGCAAATTGACCAGGAGAAGGCCTCTCCTGAGGCCCCCGACAGCGTGGACCACCGTGAACGGGCGGATCTCATGCCAGACGAGCATTCCCATAAGACGGGATGCAGCGACCGCGTCCGCAACATGTGGCTGGAAACCGAGCTTGCGCAATAACAAAGCTACAACATCGACATCCCCGCGGACGAGGCGCGAGAAGCCCTGCTTGCAGTGCGCAGCCGGCGAGTACTGGATCATTACTGCCGCTGCGCCATGGGCGCGCAACTTATGCGCAGCGCGCGCCCTGAACCCATCGCTGCTTTCTTCGCGAATTTGATTTCGGAACCGGCCAAGCTCTGCGGCGTCGGAATTCGTGGCCAGATTGTCGCCGAGGGCTCTGGGCCTCCGGGTCCGTTCTCGCAGACCGCACGCGCGCCATCCTCCCCCTGCTGGTCGTGCTCATTGTCTTTGACTCCATCATTGCGAGCCGCGCGAATGCTGTCATTGATTTCTTGGCTGCCTCCGTGGACGGATGTTCCTTCGAACGCGCCCGCAAGGGCCGACAAGTACTTGACATCACCTTCGCGGCGAGCCTCGCGATCGAGAAAGGCCTCGACATGCGATCACATGCTTGCGTCGCGCAAGCCGATGTTCGCCGATGCTACGACAACCTGCAACCTCTCCTTCCCTTCCAGTGGATGGTGGTCAGCGGCGTCAGCGTGGTGATGGCGATGGCCTTTATGACATTCCAGCTGTGCCCCGCCATCGTTCTCGTCGCCTGCGCGGCAGAAGCGCACTTCCACAGCCGCGCTGTGGGCACTTTGACTGGCAGACGTTCGGCGTCAGCTGCTGGGCGGATTCCTGTGCTGGCGCGCGGCGTCGGCATTGCTTTTCGGTCGAGGGTTTTCGCGTGTGCTCTTGCTTCTTTCGTTGACAATATGGTGTCCTTCGGGCCCTCCCAAGAGACTGCGACCGCCATCCTCATCGACTGCGGGCTGCGGAATACGCTTACAGCATTGCTGGTCTCTGGATTTACGCCGAGATTCGATGGGGCACACGACGTGCCGGGGCTACCCAAACGACAGTGCCAGGGATACCCAAACGAAAATACTGTCGCTTCTGAATGGCAGCGGCGGACTGCAATCATACTACTCGGACAGCATCTCGGCGACGATGGTGGCAAAGCAACATGCTTACACTTCACTATCCGCAACATGTGGAGGGCTTCCTGGGGCAACCTGTCCAAGGGACTCAAGAGTGCCCCCATCAGCTCAAAATTGCGCTTCATGCAGACCTCCATTCAGCCTATAGCGTCCTTCCGTTGGCCCCAGTGGCCTTTCCAGAAGGGCGCCGCCGACGAAACCTGACCTGACAAGAACGGGAAGCGAATGTTCGAACGTTCGTTGCAGGTGTGGCATCGCATGGGGACGTCAAAACTGGAACGCTTGTGCGAACAAGGTGGCGGTACCCATGGTCGAATTACTCGGGCACTCGGTCCGGCCAGCTTGCAGGGGGGGGATCCGGTTAAGCGGACTAGATCCCCAGCCCCTCCCAAGAATGCCCAGGATGCCTCCGGCCGTCTCCGGCCACTCCAAGATGCTCCAAGACGGCCCATTACATTTTGAAAACGACCGGAGATTACCCCAAGACGGTCCAAGAGGCCTGTAACATTAAGCCCTCTTGGATCCCTCTGGCACCGTTTTCGGGCCCTCTTGAACTGTCTCGGGGCTGCGTAGCCCGACTTCGGGATAAGGGGATGGGGCATCTAGTGACCTTCGGCCCATCCCGCCACCGTGCCGGGGCATTGAGAGTGAGACGGAGTGAAAGTTCGTTGGGCTCTCTTGGGAGGCTTCTCGCGGGCCGTTTCGGGCCCCCTTGGTGTGAACTTGTCAAAGCCCCCGAAGTCTTTGACCGCAATAAGAATAGGGCACCCGAAAAACATCTGAGATGTTTTCCACAGCGCGCTCTGTCTGACTCAAAGGCCCCGCCGCAATCCAGGGTCGAAACGGTTGCGGTCGCACGCGCGCATGCGCGAGCATAAATACAAGATGTACAGCGAATATCTCACACCCCGTGAAATAATGAAAAACAATTTTAAAAAAGAGAAGCCTCCCCTTCAATGTGGAATATGAAAAATCCAATACCCAACATATAAACATACCTAAGACCGCATAAACAAACTAACAAGCATAAATACTTAGCATTGTTATTCGTGAGAAAGTGTAACTAACTCAAATATACAATCATAAACTCTCGCGCCGCATGCAAATCAACTTCAAAATCTACAATCATAAACTCTCGCGCGGCATGCAAATCAAAACCGCAACCAAGAAATAATAATACCTAGCTGCGAGCGTTCACTTGTGAGCTCGAAATCCTTCCGTCGCCTCTGGCTCGGTCGTCACCTCGCCCGCTCTGCGAAACCCTGGGGTCTCATGCTGAAGCTTCCAGACGTCTCCGCTGAGCTTGTACGTCGTCATGCTCTGCACTCCCACCGACCTGGCCATGTGCGCATCGCCCGACGAGCCGCCCCGCTCGTCTCTTGGCGGCCCCTTCGGCTGGCGCTCCTTCTCGATGCGCTCCATCTCGGCCTTCGCCCGTGGAACCGCCAGTTCCGTCTTGCACTTGCACTCGGCCTCCTTTGTCTTGATCAGGTAGGATGCAACCGGGCAGGCTCGCATTAACCCGATAAGTAGGACAAACATGGCGAACCAGACCACAATGCCGCAGCCGTCGTCCTCGCCCTTCGCGTCGTAGCCTGAGCAGGCCGCCGATCTGCAACAGCAAATTGCGAACATTGCCAACTGCATGAATGGGGTCGTCGCCTTCCGCGTCGCCGCCGATGTCACCAGCCTCGTCTGATCTATGCTCTCCTGTCGCTCCTCCATGGTCTTCTTCTTCTTCTTCGCCACCGTGTAGGTCGGGTCGCTCTTCAGCTGTAGCCCCCCATATCGCAAACGGTCGGCAGGGAGCTGCCTCGCCGCGATCTTCGCAAGCCCGTCCGCGTACTGCCTCACTGAAGATACCCGCCTCCAGCGTGTCATCGTAGCCGCCGTCCTCTCGCGCAGCGCTAGCACCTCGATGCTGGCCCGCTTGTCCTGGAAGCTGGTGATGCCCTCCGTCTGGGCCGCGTCGTAGAGCGCCTTCGCGTCCACGACCAACGCCGACTCACCTGCCATGTGAGTGCTCTCGTCCATCGTGATGCCCACGCCGTCGTAGATCATAGCTGCCCTGGATCGCTTCGCAAACTCCCTGGCCGCCCATGCCCGCTGCTGCTGCCTGCGACTCCGCATATAGCGAGGAAAGTGCCATGCGCAGTTGCTTGAAGGACTTCCAGTCGATCACGCTGAAGTCGGACTCGTATCAGTCGAAAACCTTCTGTGGCCTGCCAAGATGACGTAGCCACCTCGGCTGGGCCCGTCTCGTCGAACTCTCCAGGCCGCGTCCGTCATAGCTACGAACACTATGTCGCACACCTGGCCGATCTTCTTCATCTTGAGCCCGACGCCCGAGTTCTGCCTGTAGAACCGCAGCGTCTTGTTCGCCTCCGTGGCCGTGCCAACCGTCGCCGCGGGCAGTCGGCCCCGGCGAATGCTGACCGAAGCCGAAAGGCGCGGGCGCGCCTGAGAGCTTGGTCACTGCAACGCTCCGAGTAGGTCTCGTAGCTGCCGCTTCTCCTTGATCGTGAGCTCCCTCGTGTTGTCGCTGCTCTTCTGGTCGATCGTGATGGGCTTCAGGTTCTTCGCGTAGGTCGCCATCTTCACCTCGTTCTCGTTGCCGTTCGACTTCGGGTTGTCGCAGTGCGGGGTCTACGTCACGTCGCTGCCGCAGTAGTCGGCCCTGTCGTCCTCGATCCATTTTCTGAACTTGAACTTCCGCTTCACCTCGGCGAGAACCCGACTGTGGTTACTGCCCGGCCGCCGATCTCCACCTCCCAGCATATCGTCCACATCAAGTGGAATGAACCCGTCGCAGTTGCCGTCCTCGTCGAAGCTGAGGAACATGCAGGGGTCCAGGGGATGCTGCTTGAGACCGCTGGCCTTCAGGTCGTCCACCGCACGTAGCCACCAACGCCTTGGTGCGTCCACCTGGCCGTACATGGGCTTGATGAGCTTCATCAGGGTGTCCGGCTCGACGCCCGTGAGCTCTGCCGCGTCTTTGGGTACCTTCGCGTATAACTCACGCTCTTGGGGTCGTCCTTGAAGAAATGCAGTAACTGCGTCTGCCGTCCAAGGCCTCCAGCCGCTATTAGCCGCCAGTAATAGCGCCATCTGTCTTGCCAGTCTCGATGCTGCAGGCGATGCCGTCGGCGCTGCGCCGCCGAGTGCGTCGGGGTCGTTGAAGCCTTGCAGAACCAGCCGCGCCTTGGCACGTTGTGTGCCGTCGTCGTTCTTCGTCCACTTGAGCACCCACTTCGCCTCGAGCATCCGCCGAGGGTCCTCCTCGCCGGTGGGCTTGTGAAACTCCCAGACGTCATTGCCGAAGAACTCCGTCAGCTCCTTCCGCTTGCCCTGCGTGAGCGCCGCGCGCTCGTGGGGCGTCATGTTCCTCGTGCTGATGTCCACGAAGATGTCGCTGAGCTTCGCCTCCGTGCCGTCGAACTCCCAGCCGAATGGCAGGTCCTGACTGGTGACCATCAGCTGTAGAGCTGCGAAATCGTCGTCCACGTCGTCGAGGTCCGGTACTGGTACCGCGCTGCTCAGTCCAGGATCGGGTAGCGTGCCTGAAGACTCCTCCTCCAGGTCTGGTGAAAATCGCCGCCTCTGCTTTATCCATTCTGAGCCGCTCCTTCTGAATATTCGACATAAACCTCAACTGCGTCTGTGTAGATCCGAGCTCCCGCTCCGATGATGGTGCCGCCGCCGCTGATGACGATGATGCTGCTGGCTGCGCTGTCTGCGCTGGCTGTGCTGGCTGCGCCGACGGTTGAGCTGCTGGCTGCTCTGGCGCTGGTGGGGGTGTCGTCGGCATCGGCTCCTGGTCTGGCTGACCAAAATTCGACGTCTGTCGACTGACGTCGGGTGCTGGCGCCTCCGCGCCTGGAAGATCCTCCGCTGGACCTGCCGCGGCTGATGGCGCCTCTGGTGCTATTGAGGCTGCTGCCGCCGCTGACCCGGATGACGCCGCCTGTGCCGGTACCTCCACCTCTGGGGCCGTCGTAGGACCTGGACCGCCTCCTCGACGTCGCTTAGATGCTGAACCTTCGTCTCCGTCCTCCGCGTCGTCGTCGACGTCCATGTCCGAGTCGCCCGGTGCGTCGAACGGGGGCTGCTGTGAGCTGATGTCGTGGTACTGCGTCACGCCCGTCCTCCGCATGCTGCCCAGTGCGCCCTTGGCCTGGGTCAGGTTCTCGAATGGAACGCACCCTAGATCACTCGCGTCTGGCCGAACGTGTTCGGGTGCACACCGTCGTAGCTGCGTGCCGTGAACGATCCAGTAGATGCGTGGTCCACTCTCGTCCTGGCGCATCTCCTTGGACACCGCGACTGCGGGGCACCTCCGCTTGCTCTTGATGAGCTTGTTGGTGCTGCCCTCGCACCAGTAGTAGCACCGCTGACCGATTGGAAGGTCGTGCTTGAGCGCCACATGTCGCCGTAGGAGTGCGCGTCGTAGCTTGGCTGAGGCGTCCGCCTTTATGAAAGCTAACGCCGCCATAGACCTCCCCTCCAGCACGTCCTTGAAGCCCTCGTCCTCCTTCACCTGGTACAGCGTCGCTGGCGAGAACTTGTCGCTGGATTTGGTCATCGTTGTGGTGGGGTCCATGCCCAGAACCCACTGGCATGGCGAGTACCCCTTCGTGAACGCCAGTCGGTTGACCTGGTGGGGCACGTAGATGCGGGCCTCGGTGATCAGCTTCTCGTCGAGCACTGTGTTGGCCGTGCGCTCGATCGCGTCCTGGCGGTAAAAAACGATCGCTTCTCGAACCACCTGATGGCGTCGCTCCACCACTCCGAGACTCGCGTGAGCCTCGCCTGCTGCGATCACGATACTGATGCTGTGCTGCCCTAGAAACTGCGTGAACTTGTCCGACGCGAAGCCTGGGCCGTCGTCGGTACGTAGCTCGCCCATGGGACCGAACTGCCTGATCCATCCGCGCTCGACCGCCTTGATCAGTTCGTCGGCCGTCTCTGTCTTGATCGTCCGTAGGGCAATACCTGGTAGCGCCGTCCACCATCGACAAGATTGCCGTCTTGCCTGTCGCGGCCTTGACCCAGAACACGTCGGTGTAGACGGTCTCGTTGAAGTTCGTCGGCTGCATGGCTGACGCTGTGGGCGCCTTCGGCGGGCGCTGCCGCTGGATGCAGTGCTCACAGCGATACTCAGCCGCGCAGTTGAACACGTTCTCTTGAGCTCCCGCTGGCTGTAGTAGCCGATGTAGCACCGTCGGGTTGGGGTGCCCCATGTTCTGGTGTAGCCGCTTGACGTAGCGCAACGCCTCGGTGCCGTACTTCTCGCGTAACTGCGAGTGCACGTGGACAACCTCCTCCTTCGTCGTCTCGTCCGTCGAGGCGGGGTCGCTGCCGCTGCTGTCGTCCTCGCCGTCGTAGATCTCCTCGACCTCGGCTTCCACCATGACCTGCGCCAGGGTGGCTGCCAGGATGAACGGGTAGTCCTCCGTGACCTTCGTGCGCTTGACGCCGCTGCCGCCCACGTTGCCCTCCAATACTGCGTGCTGATGGCACCTGTCGCATCGCGCGCTCATGATTGCCGACATGAGTTCCTTGGTGGTCCTGATGGTGGTTGGCTTCTTGGCCGGCTGATCGTCGCTCCCTGGTAGGGTGAGGCCGTGTATGCACTGGTCGAAGGTCGACGTGTAGCCCGGTAGGTTGGACCAGGCCTTCGTCTGCCAGGCCCTCGATGTGGCTGGCTGCTCCACGTGAGCGTGACGTCCGCCCTCGCGCTGGATGTGGTAGACGTCCGCCACGACCTGCAGGTGCGTCCGGTGACGCCAGTCGCGTAGCTCGATCAAGTACTCCTTCCAACCTGGATGTTGGTAGATGTTCAGCTCCCGCATGTTGGGCCAGGGTCCGCACATCGGGGAGAGATGAACTTCGTCTGGCTGTTCTTCGCGCAGCTTGCGCTTGAACCGCTCCCGGTGCTCGACCTTCGCGAAGTCCCAGCCCGCGGGTAGCCCGAACGTCTCGACGCCCGCTCCGAGGTCGCGCAGGCTCTGAGATAGCCGCGCTTCGCCGGCATAGACCTCCCAGACCTTCCGTCGCGTAGTGCAGCGCTTCGCCGATGCCCGCCGCATCGTCTGCATGCGCTGGTCGCTCGCGTGATTGATCGCCGAGTCGATCTTCTGAGTGAAGTTGGTCGTGACCTGCCTCTTGTCGCCGTCGTCGCTGCTGGACGTGTCCTGCTCAGTGAGCTGCGTCACGTCGCTGTAGGCGTCCGCCAGGCACCAGCATGGCTCTGGCAGATTCGGGACGACTGGCTGGATCGGCGTTGTCGCGAAGCAAAGGTTGCCGCAGGACGCATGATTTCGGCTCCGACACTGCTTCATGTACTCGCCGCAGCAGTTGACTTTCACGACTCGTTGCGGGCATCCTTCTGAGTGCGCCCGCTGCGGTGCAACCTCCCGCTGCTCCTCGTCGCTGCTGCTGCTGTTGTCGACCTTGTAGATCGTCTAGAAACTCCAGGCCGCCGATGGTCCTGTCGCCGTCCACGAACTCCCTGACGTCGACCGGCTCGCACTCGAAGTCGAACTCCGCGCCTTTCGTCTGGTCACCCAGGTCCTCGAGCAGGTCCACCATGTAGTAGCCTTGCGGAGACGTACGCGCCCCCTCGTAGCTGCAGCCGTTCCACGCCAGCTGCTGATTCGCAAAGTCGACCTGCACTGCGAACTTCTCCAGTAGGGGCGGTTGGAAGAGGATTGGCGTCTCCCCTGGAACGAAGTAAACGCACGGGGTCCCCGTCTTGTTCTTGAAGCTCGCTGGAATCATGCCGCACCACAGCGCGTGCTCCACCTTACCGTTGCCGAATCGGAACGGCCTCCGACACGCGTGGAACACTGGCGTCTCGATCGGGTAGCCCCTGGCGTGGCACGCTGCCAAGTACTCCTTCATGGTCTCCGAAACTGACATAAGCGTAGTCGCGCTGCCGTCCAAGATCGCCAACTGCGCGGGAATGATGCTGGCCGTTTTGCGGTTGCCCCAGTAGACCTCGTCAACCATCATCTCTTGATCCATCTGTCCGTGGGGCCGCTTCTTCGGTGGCTCCGGGCAGTCCTTCGCCCAGTGTCCAACTCCGCCGCATCGTAGACACGTCGCCTTGGACGGTGCTGGCCTCGGAACTGCTTCCGCCCTCTCCGTAGATCTCGGCCTCGTGCACGGATTGAATGGGCGATGCGGTGCCGATGGTGGCGAGCCCTCCTGTCCTGGGCTGCCCTTCCGCCCAGCTCCTCGAGAACGTCCGCGCCCTTTGGCTGCGCCCTCACTGGGTGAGCGCCTCGGCGCTGCTGATGCTGATGATCCCGTCGCGCCAGGTACCATCGCCGCGACCGGGCAATAGCCGCGTGCGATCTTCAGGTCGTTGAAGCGCTTGCGCGCGTCGTGGTAGGCTGCGTAGACCTCGTCGTGCTCCGTCGCGTCGGAGTCCTGCACCGTCGCCGCGTGCCGCTGATAGTAAGCCTCCTCGCAGTCGTACCAGCTCTCGTCGCCGTCCTCTGCCCAGTACTCCTGCTCGTAGCCGCCATCGAACTCTAATTCGTCGTCTTGGCCATAGTATGCATCTTCGTCGTAATACTATCCTGTCTCGTCGTCCACGCGGTTCTGCTTCCGTGCATGATTAGGCTCGTTTTCCGTGCTCTCCTGTCCGAATGTTGTCTCCAGCGCCTCGATCATTTTGTCATGTGTGATGTCGATGCCCACGATGGACATGATGACTGCCTTCTGGTATGAACTGTAGCCGCCTCGTCGTAAGATCAACCATCCACGAACCTTGGATGGCAGCTCGATGTCGCGCGTCTTGAGCTTCCGCTCTGCTGCTCGAACTCTTGAGATGTAACCGAAGAGTCTCTCTCCTCGATTGCGTCGCAGCTTGCAATGATACCCCTCGAAGTCGTCTGCCAACTCTAGGGCGGCGAGATCTATACATATCCACTGCTCCCTGGCCAGGCCCAGCCTGAGCCCAGCAGCGGTGCATGCGCCACGCCCTCCTGGCTTGGCCAGCAGGGCGCATACACAGCTCGTGAGTTCAGGATGGGCCTGGCCGGGGAACAGTGGATATGTATAGACCTCGCCGCCCGAAGCTCCGTCCGCGTGTCCATCTTGAGCCGCTTCCGTAGGCGTATAAGTAGCGCTGTAGCCGCGCCAGGCTCGATCAGGTCGTCCGCCATGAAGTCCTCGACTCCGTCCCAAGCTCCGCCTGCCAGCCCGGCCGATGACACGGGAGCCGCCTCGCCCTCCTTCTCCAAGGTCAGCTTCGCCATGAACATTGTCGCCCGCTTCTCGTGCTCCTTCCATCTCGAGAGTGTTCCGTCGAACTGTGGAACTCCGCGTTCCGGTAGTATTGCCTGATGGTCGTCTGCTGCTCTGCCGCCTGCTTTCGCCATGACGCTGGCCTTCGCTGCGTAGAGGTCGTCGTCGCTGCCGAGAAAGGTGCACTGCTGCTCGAACTCGTGCTGCTCGCTGGAGCTGCTGAAATTGTCGCTCTGGACCTCGCTGGAGGTCGATCCCGAGTTGTTGCCAAAACTGGGCTCGAAGCCGCCTGATGTGGAGTAGTGGCCGTCGGCGCTGAGCGGTCCACAGGATATGGAGTGGTGGCCGTCGACGCTGAGCGGTCCACAGGATATGGAAGGCGCTGACAAGCCCGCCGAGGAATCGACAGGCTCCGTTACCAATATGAACTTGTCAAAGCTCCCGACTTCGGGATATGGACATGGAGCATCTAGTGACCTTCGGTCCATCCCGCCACCGTGCCGGGGCATTGAGAATGAGACGAAGTGACAGTTCGTTGGGCTCTCTTGGGAGGCTTCTCGCGGGCCGTTTTGGGTCCTCTTGGTATGAACTTGTCAAAGCCCCCGAAGTCTTTGACCGCAATAAGAATAGGAAACCAGAAGAACATCTGATATGTTTTCCAAAGCGCGCTCTGTCTGACTCAAGGGCCCTGCCACAATCCAGGGCCAAAACGGTTGCGGTCGCACACGCACATGCCCGAGCATAAATACAAGATGTACAGCGTATATCTCACACTTGGGGCCTCTGTTGGGCCTCTTGGGGGCCTTTGGGGGCGTCTTGGGGGTCTCTCGGGGGCCTCCTGGGACCTTTTGGGCGCCTCCTGGGGCCTCCTGGAGCCGTCTTTGGGCGGGATGCTCCGATGTTCGATTCGGGCTCTCCCTCTTGGGGCCCTCGTGGGCCTTCTTGGGAGCCTCTTGGGCCGTCTTGGCGCCCTCTTCGGCCGTCTTGGGCGCCTCTTCAGAGTCTCTTGGGCCGTCGCGGGGCGGTCTTGGGGGACTCTTGGACCGTCTTCGACGCCGTAAAGACAAGAAAATCGTATATGATAAAAATATACGTTTTCCCATGGGCCTTGGGGACGATTCTGGCGTCTTTGGCCCCCTTGGGAGTGCTCTTGGAGGCCTCTGGGGCCGTCATGCGGGCCCTCTGGAGCCGTCCTGTGGCCTTCTAGGGACCCTCTTGACCGCTCCAAGAGCGATCTGAACACAAAGGCGGCCTGCAGCCAACGCCAACTCCATGTGTTAGAGGATGTCCCGAGCGAAACGGCCAATTTAGAAACCTGATCGGACAAGAACGGGAAGCGCCGCTGTAGTCAAATAGGCGTATTGGGCGAAGAAGAAAAGGAAGGCGAGCACAACGAGGAGTCGATGACGAGGACGACGTGGCGAACGTGAGAATAGCGAGGGAGAAGCATGAGGACAACGAGGAAGAGAAGCACAAGGACGAGGACGAAGAGAACGAGGGCGAGTACGAGGAGGAATGCGGAGGGCGATGATGACGACGACGACGACGACAGAGGACAGTACGAGGCAATTGGAGAAAGACGTTGCTCCTGGCGCCGCGCGGGGCTCTCTTGGGGCCTGTTGGGGGCTTCTTGGGAGCCCCTTGGGTCCTCTTTATGGGCTTCTGGGGTCGTCTTGGGCTGTCTGGGCGCGTCGTGGGGTTCTGTGGGAGCCGATAATCCAAGGCTGCGTTTCCTCGATCCATGCCCGTCACAAGTTGGCGGCGCGTAGAGGGGGGTAGGGGTAGGGGGGAAGGCTTCTCAGAAGCAGGCTGCTTCTTGGTGCCGGCCTTACATTTGTAGAGAAAGCCCGCGCCTTCTAAGAAGCAGCCTCCTTCCAAGAAGCCTTCCCCCCTCCCCCTACCCCCCTCTGCACGTGGCCGAACACGGATGACCCCCTGGCCCTGGGCCCTTCTGTTCGCGGCAGCGGCGCCGTCGCGGCGGCCGCAGCCCTGGCCCTCGGGCAGCCGGTGTTGGCTGAGGTTCAGCTGCGGGGGAGGATCCCGGAGCGGGGGGGGTCAGAGACCCATCCCCCCGGGGGCCCCGGGGCTTCAGAAAGTACCAAGACAAGCCAAGAGTGCCCCAGGAGGCCGCCGAGACGGTCCAAGAGGGTCCCCAATCGCCAACGATCGGTCCAATACGCCTTCACGCCCTCAAGACTACTGCCCAGGAGGCCTCCAGGACGTCCCATCACACCTCCAAGAGCACTCCCCAAAGGACCCCAAGAGGCAAAATTCATTCATTGTCCGTGGATGTTTTGAAAGATTCGGGCGTTCTCGCCTTTTCCACTTCCCGCCGCCCCAAAACAGCGCGGGAGGCCCGCAAGATCGCCCCAAGACGGCCTCCAACAGGTCCCCAAAGCAGCCCAAAAGTACCCCAAGACGGCCCAAAACGCCTCCAAGAGGGCCCAAGATGCCCCAAGACGGGTTGAAAAACGTGCCCAGACTGGGGGCCCGAACGGACATTTCAAGCCCTCGGCCCCAAGAGACTCCCAGCAGGCCCCGCGAGGTTGCCAAGAGGCCCCGAGAGGCCCACAAGAGGTCCCCAGGAAGCCCGAAGAGGCCCCCAAGAGGCCCCCAAGAAGCCCCGAGAAGGCTCCCAAGAAGCCTCCAAATTCCCCCCCTGAAGCCCGAGAGACTTCCGAAGAGACCCCAAAAACCATTCCTGAAAACTCTGGCTCACGACAGCGTCGTCATCGTTGCCGCCGCCGTTGTCGCGAACGTCGTCGTCTCCCTTTTAGGGTCGGCGGCACCGGCCGTAAGGCCTTCGGAATCGACGGCATCCAACACAAGATGTTGTGCATCCTAGCCGGCGTGAAGCCCACGGCCACTGAGTCCCCGGCCGCGTATGTGCAGCGCCACTGGAGCATCGCTGGCGGCTACGTGCCGACCGTCGGGAAGTGGAGCCGTGATAGGGCACGCTCTTTGAAGTCGTGGCACGATCACGTCGAGAATCGCAACGACCCATGGGCCTGGTCGTGGCCCCTACCGCACTGGCACGCTAGCGACTGGTGATAATGCCAGCGCGAGGCGGCTTACTCCGCCAACGAGTCTCGCACTCGCACAAGAGTCCATCGTGCCCGCCCACAACGAAGATGGGATGAAGGACTTCGGGATGCCCTCCCGGCCGCAGCGTAACGGACTGGGGGCTTCGCTCAGGAGACCGTCCATGATGTCTGCCTCTTTCAATGCCTGTCATTTGGCTTAGATGAATGAGGCGAAGGGCGTATCTGCTCGAATGTCATCCAACGCGTATTTCCCAAACCCTCGACACCTGCCCTCTTCGTCTTCGATCGTGCCCCTTTTGGGCGGTATACCTTTCTTCCCTGCAGGCCGGGCCCCAGCAAGCGGCGGGGCGGCCGCGGACCGTCGGCCTGGCCAGCGGCAGCGCTGACCGGCGGCAACCCGACCCCAAGAGAGACGGACAGGGGACCGACCACGACGACGACGACGACGACGACGAGCGAAAGCAATAGACGAGAGCGAGAGCGACAGCGGGGCCGCGAAGGGCAGGAAGGGGGCCACGAAGGGCGACAGCGGGGCCACGAAGGGCATGCGTATGGGGGCACGCAGGGCGCGAACGAGCGGGGGCCACGAAGGGAAGATAATGCGGGGCCACAGAGGGCAACGACGGGGCCACTGACGGTAGCGACGTGGCCACGTGGGGCAGCGAGGGGGCTACAAAGGGCGACAGCGGGGCCACGAAGGGCATGCACATGAAGGCGCGAACGAGCGGGGGCCACGAAGGGCATACGTATATTGGGCCGCAGAGGGCCAGGACGGAGCCACGAAGTGCAGCAACGGGGCCACGAAGGGCAGCGAGAGGGCCACGGAGGGCGACAGCGGGGCCACGAAGCGCATGCGTATGGGGCCACGACGGGCGCGAACGAGCGGGGGCCACGAAGGGCATACATATATGTGTGTATGTATATATATATGGGGGGGGGCACGAATGCAGCGAGGGGGCCACGAAGGGCTGCAACGAAGCCACGAACGGCAGCGAGGGGGCCACGAAGGGGTGCAACTGGGCCACGGAGGGCAGCGAGGGGTCCACGAACGGCAGCAACGGGGCCACAAAGGCAGCGAGAGGGCCACGAAGGCCTGCAACGGGGCAACGAAGGGCAGCGATGGGGCCACGAAGCGCGGCAACGGGGCCACGATGGGCTGTAACGGGGCCACGAAGGGCTGCAGCGGGTCCTCGAAGGGCAGCAACGGGGCCACGAAGTGCTGCAACGGGGCCACGAAGGGCTGCAACGGGGCCACGAACGGCTGCAACTGGTCCACGAAGGGCAACGAGGGGGCCACGAAGGGCTGCAACGGGGCCACGAAGGAGGGCAGCGAGATCCCGATTCCGAAGTAAGCTGTGAGGGAGTCCTAAGCGTGAGCGCGACTCCTGGGTGCCTGAGTGTCGGGAGCGAGGCGCTTGAGTAAATTTCAGGACCAACACAAGAGCGCGATCCTTAGAGCGCCGAGAGAGCGATTCCTGAATGCATTGTACGGAAGTCCCAAGCGAGAGCGCGATTCCTTAGCAAAGTGCGAGGAAGTCTCAGGCGGTAGCGGGGCGAGGCGAGGCGAGCGCGCGATGTCGGTCCGGTGGGACCGGCCTTAGGAGGGCAGCGCGGTGGGGCCGGAGCGCTCAGAAGTCGAGGAAGTGGGGAAGTGGGCGTCGGGTGTGAGTGTGGATGGAAGTCGAGAGGTGGATGTCGAATGCTGAAGGTCGGATGTTGGAGGTCGACACGTCGTGGTGCGCGTCGGAGGTTGGATGCTGGAAGCTGGAGGTCAGTCGGGTGAGGTTGCCGATTGTGAGGCGGAGTCGAAAGCTGGCGGTGGAAGGTCGGAGGTCAATGGCACATGTGCGCGCTGGAGGTCAGTCAGGTGAGGCTGGTGGTTTGTGGGCATGAGGCGGATGTCAAAAGCAGTATGTGAAAGACTGGGGGCCGACGATTGGACTGGGTGCACTCCCGGGGCCGGGAGGTTGGCTTGAAGGTCGATTTGGTGAAGCTGGTGGCCAATATGAGGTGGTCGAAAGCTGGAGGCGGGGTGTTGGAGGTCAACGGCTGGTGGGATGCGCTGAAGGTCAGAACTGGAAGCTGGAATTCGGTCAGGTGAGGCTGGCGCTTATGAGGTGGAGGTCGAAAGCTGGAGGTTCGAGGTTAGAGGTCGACAGCTGGTTGTGCACGCTGAGTCGGAAGTTTGTGGCTGGAAGTCGGGCAGGCGGCTCTGGGGGTCGATGGGCGAAAGTCGAAAACTGGATTCGAAACTTTTCAATAGTGGGAGATCAAGAATAACAACAACAACAACAACGACGACGACAACAGCAACCACCACCACCACCACCACAACAACAACAACAACAGCAACAGCAACAACAACAACAACAACGACACCAACAACAACAACAACAACAGCAACACAACAACACAACAACAACACCAGCACTAACAACAACAACAACAACAACAACAACAACAACAACAACAACAACAACACCAACACCAGCACCACCAACAACAACAGCAGCAGCAACAACAACAACAACAATTCGCCGGCCCAACGGGCCAGAGGCGTGCTAAGATCTCCGGTAACTGGTTGACAATATTTCTAGTTCGCGCGCGCGGAGCGGCCCCTGGGGCCCCCCGGACGAAAAGAACCCCAGCAAGGTCCCGGGAGAAGCCACTACTTTGCGGTTGCGGTGGTCTGGCTACTTATAAGCTGGGTTATATCAAAGGCATCGCGGCTTATAAGACCAACAAGTCAATTCATAAACCTGTCAACCAGAACGAGCCAACTTGTAACACAGCATGCACTTATATGTATTCTGTGCTGATACAAGTTGACATAAGGCAGCGGTGTAACCAGAGGGCGCGGAATATACTAATTCTACTAAGCATGTTACATCAGAGGTATAAGTCAAGAAAAAGTTAGGGTTCCACATATATCTCACATAACACTTAGAATAACAGTTACGAAACAGTTACGAAACAGTTACGAAACAATTACAAATCAGTTACAAAACAGTTACGAAACAGTTGTGAACTGGTTGCACACAAAACACACGGTGTGCCTAGTGTGTACCAATTTCAGAAGAGGGCCCCGAGGAAGGTGCCCAAGTAGATTTCTCCACGAGGGCCTCGATGATCATTAAGGCGTTTCGGGGCCGTCTTGGGGCCCTCTTGGGGTCAACTTAGGGATTCGCGAAGGACCGAGGGGCTCCACGAGGTTCCCAGGGGGCCCAAGGAGGGCGCCCAAGATGCCCCAAGTGGGCTCCACGAGGGTTCAAGACGCTTCCATGATCATGGAGGCGTCTCGGGGCTGTCTGGGGGCCCTCTTGGGGTCCGCTTTGGGTCCTCTCATGGGTTCGCGAGGGATTGAGGGGGTCCGCAAAAAGCCCAGGCAGGGGTCCTCTTGAGGAAGAGGAGGAGGAGGAGGAGGAGGAGGAGGAGGAGGAGGAGGAGGATGGACCAGGCTAACTGTTGGGCTACACTTAACATGTTCGAAAGCTGTCGAGAACATGGGCCCGAGAGGTTCGGAAAAAGGGGGGGGGTCGGAGGATCATCGGAGGACGAGGAGAAAGAGGAGTGGGAGGAAGAGAAGGGGGAGAATGACAAGGAGGAGGAGGAGAAGGAGGAGGAGGAGGAGGGAAGAGGAGGAGGAGGAGGAGGCAAAGGAGCATCACCCTCATCATCATCATCATCATCATCATCATCATCACCATCATCACCATCATCATCAGCAGCATCATCATCATCATCAGCATCACCCTCATAACCAGCATAAGCATCAGCATCATCATCGTCACCAGCATGATCGCCATCATCGCCATCAACAACAACATCACCACCAACACAATCACCACCACCACCACATCATCATCATCATCATCATCATCATCATCATCATCATCATCATCATCATCATCATCATCATCATCATCATCATCATCAGCATTATCATCACCAACATCATCATCATAATCACCATCATCATCAGCACCATCAGCATCCATTTCCTCCGCCGTGCCGTGCCGTGCCGTGCATGCGGAGCCGTTTTGGTTCAGTGGTGCGCTGTGCGCGCCAGGGCGCGCGACGCGCGCCGGAGGGCCACAGCCGCGGCGCAGGCTCGGCGGGGTGCTCTCTCTTTCCTCCTCCTCATTCGCTGTCACCTCCTCATTCTTCCCCTCATCCTCATATCTTATACTCCGCCTGCTCCTGCTCTCTCCCCCTCCTCTGCCCCAAGATGTGGCTTGCGCCAATCCGCCGACCCCAGGAAAGTGTCAGAGAGAATGCGACGATCGCGCAAGTTATGTAGTGGCTCCCGTGTTCTGTGTTCTGTGTCCTGCGCTCCCGTGTCCTGTGTCCCGTGATCCGTCGGCCCAACGAGCCCACGCCTGGACTGGGTGAGGAGCCTTTTGGACGCCTGCGGCCATCGCGTTGAAATGAGGAGCGCTCAGCCCCTCCGTTCTTTATTCAACGTTCCTTATGGCAAGACGACGACTGCGTGGGCGTCGGCTGGGATGCTTATCTGTGGGGGCCTCTTGGGGGCGCCTGAGGGGCTTCTGCGGGGCTCCTGGCCACTTGTTCTTTTGTTTCGGAGCTAGGAGAACGACGCCGCCGCCACCAAGAAGGCACCCTCCAACGAGGTCCACGATGCCTCCCCGTGCTGGGGATTGGGGGCGTCTCGAGCGGGAGGGGGGGATCGCGCCACCAGGGAACCCCCCCCAGGACCCCCTGGCCCCTCGCCCTGCCGGTGATGGCGTCGCCCATGCCCCTGTTCTCATATGTCGTCCGTTGCCGTTCGGCTCGATAGCGCGCGGCGCCTGTCCTCGGTGCGCCCGAGGCGGGATGCAGAGGCGGCAGGGCGGCGGCGGGCC